TTTTTTTTTTCTTTGGAGATTTCACATCTGACGGGTATTTTACTGAACTGTTGCAAAAGTTGTTATTGTTCTTGCGTAATTGCATGTACAGGTCTTAAATAATAAAACTGGTTTGAATTATTAACAGAGCGACATCACGCCTTTGGCTTTAAGTAATTGACAGAAGTTTACGTTGGCTCATTTCTTCAACGCAGGGAAGACATACGCTCCAAAGTTTATGATTAGCCAAGTGAATCATTTGTAGTCAGTAAGTATAGATGGGCCTTGTAAAGAATTCTTTCAATTAGTATTTAGAATTAATTATGTATTGGCAATAGCAGTTGTCGTGGAGCAGCGCACTGGGAACGCTAGTGCACGGGATCTGAGTTATTTGCGCTAAGGAAGATAACCACTTGGTGAACAAATGTCAGTTCTCTTGGGAGAGCAGAAGTCGTCGAGGATCGTAAGATCTACTTGGTCAGGCGGTAATGCGCCTGCTGGGAATTTTGATGGCAATCCAGTGCTTTTCGGCCCTGTCCAAATGGTAAAGTAAGAGTGGGAGAGTCCACTGGAAAGCAAAGAAGAGTAATTGGGTTTCCCGTGTGAAGAGTAACTTTTCTAAAAACTACCTATTTATAAGATTTTCGTTTTTTTAAGGACTGGTCCTCAATAATGAAAAAAAGAATCGAATCAGTGTATGGCTGATATCTTCAAAATTGTACTTTTAGACAAACGTAACATTTGAAAAATATTTTCTTGCCAAGTGATGTCTGGAAAAACCTCTTGGATATCTCCATACGTTAACAGATAAATGAGCCGTACAGCGCACTACTTTAACGAACAGAAATTTTAACCAAGGACTGGTGATGCTGCTTTCTAACTGTCAGCCAGTTCAGTTTGGTGCGAACAACTAAACTTTAGTTGTTAAACTACAGACAACTCGTTTCATTTGAAACACTTTTCACTGTTTGTTTGAATAAAGATAACGGGTGGTGACCATAACCGGAAATCGAGAAATCAAAAGAAGTATATAGTAAAAGGAGAAATAGACCTGAAAAAAAATGAAATGGGAGTTTAGAAGGTTTTCAGGTTTTCATAAATAGCAGAATTTTACTAAGTGAACACCAAAAAATAATACTACAATAGCTAAGTAGATAGTCGAAAATCGGGCATAAGCATGAAGGATCTATAACAACAAATATAAGAGAGGGAAAAAAAAAAACAAATGGCAACTTGAAGAACTCTGAACTTTAGCAATTAAATTATACAACTGGATGAAGGGTTTAGTCATATACGAGGGTAATAGCAATTCCAGCAATAATTAACAGAGCGCCTAAAATTACTTTGAGAGATATGGATGCTTCACCAACGATTCGTCCAATTATAGCTGTAAACAAGAAAGTCAAAGAGTTGACTAGCGGTACAACTTCGGTTAACGGTTGAGTTGCTAGCAGCCAAATGTTTAGCACCTAAATCTACCCGGTAATCTTCAAGAACCAAAAACTGTCCAGCATCAGTGGTAGCACGAAAAGCTTTATTAATTCTCTCCTGTTTTTCGTACACGTAAGGGTCGACAAACAACCTACTATCGGTCAAATATACCACAATATGATGTATAAACTATACATGACAGTAAACAAGGACACTTACCGAAGCTGATTGATTCAGAAGAAATGGTAGTGAAAATTTCCAACACTTAAACGTCCTCCACAGATAAACGACTGGTCTAACAAACCACTGGTATTGATTCAGAGCTGAAACGTTTTTGTTTGCAGAACATTTAATCCGATCCATGTCAGAAGCTTCCGATAGAAATTGTTCTCCTACTACCTAGGCAATAGCAGCTACTATGGTAAGCAGTTAACTACGACCATTGAAATTGGTGCATCCTTATTAATCTTTATAAAGCTAGCCGTTTACCCCGATACTGAATAATTTTAATTGTCCTTTCTGACAGCGTACCCTCTACTACTTCTTCCAGCCAGACGGATGTATTCTGAACACAATTTGCTGGACGAAAAACGTAACATTTGGCAAAGTACAGCGCTTGGAATGAATAGCAAAACTAGTGTAGTAAATGTAGTAATTAGGAATAAAATAATTAACTACCGCAGGATACACTTGGTTTAAGAAGGACGGTTTTTGACTTCTAAGAACAGCACAACGCTCAACCACAAAGAAAGAGATTTCAACGTTATGTTCCAGAAGTAGCTTTTCGTTCTTCAGCTTCTGCTCTGCTCAACCCCGCCACCTAACTCTTATTTCGCACTTAGTCCATATAGTTGTAGTCGAAATAATCTCTTTGTAAAAAGTGAAGGGCCGAACAAAGCGCATCTTTCTCCAATTAAGTTAACAAAAAAGAATAATACGTACGGCAGTCCAACCTACCTGAGGTTTTGAAGCAACACGACAAACTAATGTAAAACGACATCGAAAACAATTAGATTAAGAAAAATCTAGTACAAAATAAGCCAGATAAAAAGCCAGAATGATCATGCAATTTACATATGACTGCCCGGAAGAAGAAACAAAATCAAAAGCAAAATAGAGATAAATACGACTATTTGCAAACACTAAAAAACACAACATCAAAAATTTACTTTTTTCATCGATGTCTGAGGATCTAGCACCGATACGTATCAGTGGATTTGTAGTACCCCACAAGAAGGAAACGAAAAGTATTTGAGACAATTCGTTGATACTTAGTAACCTGCCGGACATGGTTCATAAAGAACAACAAAAAATGAGCCTAAAATAAATGGCACTTGATGCCGTCTGCTGCAGCTATCACTCAGCGTCGCAAATCAACATTTCCGACAATAGCACTACGAACAGATGGACTCCCAGAACTAGCACTTTTTTTTAGTACACAATTCTTGGCTTCATTTTTGACTTAATCATTTGCCGAAAGCGGCCAATTGTCACTCGTTTTTGTTCAATTCTTCAACCCTGCAACTATGATTACAAATAATTAACGAATACAAAGGCGTAAATCAAGGTTACGTTAACAAATTCGACAAAAAACACGCACTTAGATAATTGAAAAATAATATTCGACCTTTTTCTCGTTTCAAATTTTCATATTTATTCAAAAATTTTATTGAAGGACAAAAGACACTTTTGTTTCAGAAGTAAAATTTTACTTTTTTCCAAGGTTTTTTTTTCTAATGATTCAAATTGTTATCAGGATTATTTCTAACGGAAGTATGAGAAGTCTTTCATTTTTCTTTACAGCTGTCGTTACAGAATCCTAAGTCAATGATTCAACTTCTGCAACATTTGAGAATTGGTTTACCGCTGTAAAAATTCAATCAATACTCATTGTAAAGCACAAAGAATTAGGCTCTTACAAATCTAAGTACCAGAAAAAACGACACAGTTTTTTGTTGTCAGGTTCAAGTAAGGAAAACAGAGTCATTGTAACCGTAAATAATCTACTTTACTAGATCTTAATAAGTGAGTCTAAAACATAATGCGTATATCATAAGATATTTAATCTGCCTGCTTTTCTCTTGCACAGCACTTTTTAATTCATCCTTGGGCTTTAACGTAAAATTCTAAGAGCGTAAGAAAGTTCTGGGTTGATTATAGTAGGTTGGCTGTCGAGCATTGTGAGTATATTTCACTCACAAAGTGGACTGTGTCTATAGAATGGAAGGCAAACAAAGAAACTAGCTGGTGATCGGCAAAAAGGTTGATGGTAGGGACAGAGACAGAAACAGAGACAGAGACAGGGAAAGGCAGAAAGAGAGCGGTATTGGGCGAAAGTTGGGTACTATGAAATTGTTTGGGCACACCGTTTGTCCTCCCCGTTTTCTTCCCCTTCTGCGGTATGGTGACGTCGCCTTCTCAACAGTTGAGTAGTCGACATCTGTACGATGAACACGTCAGCATTCGTCTTCGGATCCAACGGGGGTTTCTTCTCTGTGACTTCATCTTCCTCTACTTATCCTAACAACACGATGTCTTTTTCTTTTCCCTTTTTTTTGCTCTTGATGTTATTTGGTATAAATTAGCCAAAATTAGACAGCATGAACAGTACTGCACTTGTTTGTTGCATACAACCAAATTATTTCTTGCTTTTTTCTCATTTTTCAGCAAAGCCTTATAAGTATAATCTATTATTCAATTGCAACTCGATACCGTTCCATAGGAATCCCACTTATATTTAATCTGCGCGATGAACTTTCAAAATGGCAGCATCAGTTTCTTAACAATTTCACGCTACAGTACTGCTGTGGTGTAATCGTAACAGTAAAATTACCAACAGCTGAGTGGGTTCAACGAAAACGTCATAATGTCGCGTTTACTGTGTCCATTAAATGGTTTCGATTCCCGAGCAGATATTGTTTGGTGGATGAAAGTGATAGGTTTTAGAATTTTTAATGACCTGTAAGATTGTCAAATTCAAGAAAGTTTTTATGTCTGTTTGCTTCCATTTTATGGTCGTCAGCTACTGACCGATTTTAAGAGAAAGCCACTCCTTTTTTTCCAGCGCATTTTGTGCCACTGTTCAGTATCTTTTTTCTTTTCTTCCTTGTTTTCGTCTTTTATTTCCTTTATTCTTTGCTGCATTTTTTTTCCAATTCTCCCGTTGAATTGAACGCGGACGATACGGTTGTTTGCGCTTTATAAGAGGTTGTTGCTTTTTTGCCGGCTAGAATAAAGTAGTTGGTGATTTTCACTTTTATCTTGTCAAAGCAAAATATTGATGTCTTTGAATTTTGGGATATTGCTTTATCATTTATTACAAACATTCATTATTGATGATAGTCATTAATTCATTAATCCACCACAGTGTACAATGTTGTTAACCAACCCATATTTCCAGTGATCCTTTTCTTTCTTTTACACGGAAAGTTTCCGCGCTGGGATATGTCTGTCATTGGAAATGGTCTTGTCATCTTCATTTTGCTTTGTCTATTTATCTCACAGACACTAACCGAAGAGGACTTTTACAAACTTCTTGGGGTATCAAAGGACGCTGATAATCGAACAATTCGGCGAGCCTTTAAAAAACTTGCTTTGCAAAAACATCCTGATAAAAATCCGGTTAGTCCTTTAATCATAGTTTTCTCTTTGTCCTTCTTCACCCTGTTAGTATTGAAATAACTGTGGAGCTAATTCTCAGAGATTCTGATGTAATGCTGGTATAGCTAAGAGTTCTCTATCAGCTATGTCGCCACTCGTTTTACCAAAGAGATCTATAGTTATTGATGTTATTTCTTCTGATTATTGACAGCTTTTAGAACAATAAAAATGCGCATGCAGAATTCGTCCGACTTAACAGGGCGTATGAGGTTCTTATGGACGAAGAATTGCGCAAAAAATACGATCAGTTCGGCGAAGAAGGTTTAAAGGATGATTTCCATGGCGGCAATCAGTATCAGTCGTGGACTTTTTATAGGGACAATTTCGGTAATATTTTTTATGATTTCCATAAGAAAGCTGTTTATTCAATAACCGCTTTTTGCCATTTTCATGAATATCCTTCGTTCTTCTTTCTGCTCAAATTATTTTTTTAGGTATTTATGATGACGATGCGGAAATCGTAACGCTTTCTCGTGCTGACTTTCAACAAGCTGTTGTTGATTCCGGCGAAATTTGGTTTGTCAATTTCTACTCCACCTACTGTTCGCACTGTCACCAACTGGCCCCAACAGTAGGTTTCATAAGTCTAATTTTTACCTGTGCACCGCACACTAAAATGTATCTTCTTTAGCTTTTTTAGAATTTAAAATCATCAACGGTAAGCAATGTGTAATTTATTTTTAAAAATTTCTTTCGCAATATTTTTTTGATAATTTGACTAACACTTTCATTGAATTGTTGGGCAGAAAAAGTTGTACAGTAATTCCTTTCAAAAGTTTTCTGAGTAGCTTTTTCATATTATTAAATTAATTTCGCACTTCCTGTTCTGGCTAGGAACGAATTTCAAAACCAGATTACATTTTAGTGGCGCAAATTTGCTCGGGAAATGGATGGAGTTCTTCGGATAGGTGCAGTTAACTGTGCTGAAGATCCAATGTTATGCCAGTCTCAAAATGTGATGGCCTATCCGTCGTTGGTGATTTATCCCGAGGTTAACATTTAAATTACTTTTGCTTTTTGCATTTACTTTATAGTTCTTTGTTTATATTTTTTTCTTTTAGGTTGGAGGATTGTAGTTTTTTGATCTTCAGTTTCAATTTCAATTTCAGCTTAATTTTCACTTTAATTTTTGCCTTCAATTCAGTTTTATTCAAAATTGTGGGATCTGGCCTCAAGGGTATCTCTAAAAATTCTTTTAGAGAGTTTTCTTCAATGGCCGAAGAGAAATGGATGATTTAGTCGAATTTGCAATGAGTAGAATCTCTACTGATATTCATCACCTCAAAAAGTCAAATTACAAAAAGATGACTATGGAATGGGAAAAATTGTCTGAGCGACCTTGGGTTGTTGATTTCTGTGATGATCATGGCGACTGCTTGTCGCAGTCGAACAGGTACAACTTCTTCTGCTTAGTATGACATCTTATGATTGAGCAGTTTTTATCATTTTCGAAAAATTTGTAACTCAAGTGACATCTGCTTGGGGCTTTATTAATAGTCTGAGTAAATGGACCAAGCTTTTTAGAAAGAAGTTGGCTGCTATGCTGGCAGAAGTTGCTAATGTTGCGACTGTCAATTGTTTTGAAGGCGTCACGCGGGATGAACTGTGCACTATTTTGAAAAGAACTCAGGGAGTTGCTTACTACCCACCAAAGAATATGACTGTTGACAACGGCAAGGTGAGAACATTTAATGTTTTTTTTGCGGAACACAACTTTTTTAATTTTTCGGGTTCCAATTATTACACTAAGACTGTTTTTATGAATATACGTCTTACGGTAACATAGCTGTTACTGATGGGTATTTTTGTACCGTTTCTGATGTAGCCTAAATGGAAATTTAATTTATTTGGGTTCTGATTTGTTGAGATACGTTTAATTTTACTGATTATTAGGAAATCTTATCTTTGGACCCAAAAGAAATTTCATCAGAAGTTCTACGGTATCTACCCGAGTTGCCAACGTTACGTGAGGATGAGGAGGAGGCGATAGTCGCGGGTTTGTTGTGACCACTTATTCTTTTTTCTGTTTGTGTTTGCTGCTTTGTTCACGATGAAAAGGTTTCTCGGCTGGCGTTAAATAAGTGGTTTTGTGTTTCATTTCCAAAGACAATTTCAGCTATGATTGGAGGGACTTTAGAAAGTGCTGCTTCAAGTGCTCTATTTGTATTGTTTGTTGCTGATCGTAGTGCCGCAGATTCTCTTGAACTAGACCTCAGAAAGCTTCCAGCAAAAATTGGAGAACATGTTAAGGTACTTCTCTCTTTTGCTTTTTTTCTTCTTTCTTATAATTGTGCTTCTATGCCATTATGATTCAGGTAAGAACCGGTGTTTGTTCAGACTTAAATGGTGTTTGCGATGGGTTGTTCTTAGCAGAATTACCAAAATGGGTTATGTTTAAACCTGCAGGCGGATATGAAATCAATTATGGTATGAAGTTGATGTGTGCTCGTCTGAATTGTGTTTGATTACAATGCTGCACTTCCAGATTTTCTAAAGTGGAAAACATTTCAGTGTTATAGGTAATTTTGGTCTTTTAGGGAAAACTGGGCTTTTACATGATATTTTGTCCTTTGCTCGAGAAAGTTTGCTTTCACCGATGGTGACCTTAAATCCTGGCTCATATAAGAAAATAATTTCTTCTGAAGAAGGTTGGCTTGTCGATTATTTTGCTCCAGTAAGTATTCTTTTCACTTTGAATACTTTACTAAAACTCAAAAGGAAATCGAGTCCAAAGGAAAATAATTTAAATTTTGCGAATGTTTTGTTTTCTCAATACGGGGTAATTTTTGTCAGTATGTAAACGGATTAGACTAGGAAATCAGTATTACAGCGGTCTTAATAGATATGAATTGCAGTGGTGCCCACCGTGCCAACGTCTTTTACATGAACTTAGGAAACTTCACAATTATGTTCACGATCTGAAAATTGGGACAATAGATTGTGTTGCTCATCCGCAAATTTGCCAAGAAGCAGGCATTGGAAGGTAATATCAAATACGAACTTGTTTCTGATCGAACGTTTTCCTTTTTTTTTCCGATATCCAAACTGTTCTTCTGGTTTACACTTTTTTATTTTTGAATTATGGTGGAATCTGCCAAATAATCTGTGGATTTAACTTTATTTGCTTCTGGTGGTAAATAGCTGGGATTTCGCAGTTATATGAAGTTTAGTTGGAGTTTTCTTTAGTTCTTTACCTGTTCTCATCTTCATTTTTTGTACAGAAGTTGTAACTGGTATTGCTGTGAACGAAGTTTTTACTGAAGTGAGTTCAAACTATAATTTTTCGCTTAGTGTATTGTTTTCCAACGTGCATGATAGTGATTTAAGTTGTGTGAGAGTGTAATTAAATCTAGTCTTGTCTTTTTTGTTGCTTCTTTTTATTGGGTAACCAGAGTTAGTAAATTGTAAAACCCTTTTTTAGCTATCCAGCAACAATTTATTACGAGAACAGAAAAACTCACTCAAGTCTTGGTTATCACGATGTCGGCTTTCTTGCCGAATTTATTCAGGTTAGATGCTATTTATTTATCATGTTTGAGGACTTTTTTGGAATTATCATTGTTTTCTGCTAGAATGCTGAGATTTTTAGGATGCAAAGAATCCTTCTGTGAAAGAACTAACACCGGACGACTTCAATGTTCATGTTAGAGCACGCCAACAAGGCGAAACGTGGCTTGTTGACTTCTTTGCTCCTTGGTGTGGCCCTTGTCAGCAGGTACTTTTGTGTATGTTGTACAACCAGTAGTGTATATAAATTCGAAAGTGGAGCGGAGTATATTTTAGCTAGCACCTGAATATCGTAGACTTGCACGAGATGTTACGAGGTTAACAACAAACGTCTTCTTTGGAAGTGTTGACTGCGATGCGTATCGGGACTTTTGTACCCAAAATCAAGTTTATGCGTATCCTACTGTCCGTCTTTATCCTGCAAATCCTCAGCAAATGGCAGTGTTAGTCTCTATTGCACTCTCAGTTAGCACTTGTTAAGAATTTTTAAAATTTGTTTTGATAGGCTTACGGCTGTTTAAAAACGTTTTTCTTTGTTCTAGTGACTATCCAAACAACTGGTGGAGAGATCATGGTTCTATGTACCGCTGGCTCACTGAATATTTGCCATCTAAGGTGAAGACTTTGGGAAATGACTTTTTCAATCGCGTTTTGGATGATAAAATACCTTGGCTGGTTGATTTTTACGCACCTTGGTGTGGTCATTGTATTCAATTTGCTCCTGTATTTGAGACAGTGGCGGAAGTAAGTTTTTAACTGCGTAACAGTGATTTTGAGTTTTTAAACTTTTATTTTGCGGGCTATAACACAACTAACTATTTTCCTATATTCTTTTATTTTTCCTTTGCTAGTCTACTTTTTATTAGATGCTTGATGGCCGTGTCACACTTGGGAAGGTCAACTGTGATCAGTGGCCAGGAGTTTGTCAAAGCGCTGTTATTAGAGGTTATCCTACAGTTCGTCTTTTTGTTGGAAGCAAGGACGGATCACGACAAGATATTAATGGGATAGTAATTCAGTCGCATAATGCAGAGGTTATTGTAAAACTAGTTGAAGAACAAATCGGTAAAGCGTCAAAATCTTTACCAAAAACAGAGTTGTGAAG